TCTGAAGCACAGAGTGGTAATAGTTTCCCAAAGATTCCACCACTACTGTTAAATAGACTTTAAACTCAGTTGCTTTGGCTCCAGTGTTGTAACATATCTATCCTATATTTCAAGCAAAAGTACTCAATATTTAAAATATATCTTTTATATTTATTTAAAAAATTAAAGCCTATTAAAAATATTTATCAACTGACATTAGTTTAAAAAAGTGTATATTGTTTGTGGAATTTTATTTTGCTAACAGTGTAAAATCCAGATGGAAACCAAACCCTACACAACATAGAAAAGGTACCTGTGACATTTTGTGCTTCGTGTGGTATTAGAACTGGTTAAGCATCCTTTCAGTTGAAGGCATATCCCTTGTGTCATTGGTTTCTTGATTGACAGACTGAAAGTGATGTGCAGCACCCAGGAGGGATGTCAGTCACATCCCCTTCCTTTCATTGAAGTCCAAGCCCGCACTCGTTGCCTTAGGCCTTCTTGTGCCAGCTCTTTAACATAATCGCAGTGTCACTTGATGCCATGCTGATCTGGGTCCTGCTAACAGGCACTGGGGAATGGTAATTAGGACTTAGTGCATGGCCCTTATGCGAAGAGGACTGACCCAGCTATAACGTACAATAAATACAGCCCTGACAGAAGCCTGAAAATTGGTTCTGCTTGATTGCCTTTACACAGGGCTGTGACTCATTGCTTAATTTCTTCCTGATGCGTTTGCCATAAAGGTTCTGTAGCCTATAATTTTTGTAAAAAATATATCTAATTTATGGTGTTAAAGAAGGTTTCAGGTAACTAGTCACATTTATGGGACATCTTAATCCTAGGACAACATTTGTACTAACTGTGCTTTATTTTTTTAAAAAACAAGTGTAATAGGTTTAGTTTGCTTATTTGCTGTTTTTTTTTTTTCAATATGAAATGTATTGGACATCTATTATGTGAGAGGTCCATAAATTTAATCCTGTCTGCCTTATCCTCCCCAGATATCATATACTCATTCTCTAAGAATCTCTATTATAAAGTTGATCTCCCTGTTAACCATACTGTGATCAGATGTAACACTACTGGTATGGATCCCAGAACAGCAATAACTCTGACAATATTTCCAATCCTTATGCTTTTTTGCAACACGAGGTAGTCTCAGCACACACTCCAGCCAGCTGCTCCCAGCCTTTATCTGACTCTGTTTATATCTCTGTGAGGTTTATAGACACCACAAACACTGATAACTTGCATTGAATGCCATTGTGGACAGCTATGCTCCAGCCACTGTTCTTCCCCTCCCAATTTCACACTCCCGAAGGTTCACGATCTTCTGTCATTCAGTCCCTAGGACCTAGAATAGAGTGCCTAGCAAGTGGCAAAGAATCAATAATTGCTTGTTGATGCAAATATGGTGCATCCATTAAAACATGCTTTTTCATAAGGGTGTTGGTTCTTTTTTCTTTTAATATATTTTATTGATTTTTTACAGAGAGGAAGGGAGAGGGATAGAGAGTTAGAAACATCGATGAGAGAGAAACGCCGATCAGCTGCCTCCTGCACACTCTCCACTGGGTATGTGCCCGCAAGCAAGGTACATACCCTTGGCCAGAATAAAACCTGGGACCTTTCAGTATGCAGGCCGACGCTCTATCCACTGAGCCAAACCGGTTAGGGTGGTGTTGGTTCTTATAATTGTCTATAGGTTTATTAGTTGAAATATCTTTTCAGTTAATTACATCTTTTTGTCAGATGACAAAAATCATATGCATTACTTATCGATATTTTACAGAAAACTTAAAAATAAATAAAACAACCTCACACATTAACGTGGTGTTTTTATTTTTAAAAAAATTTGGTATAATTTCTAGATGGTTTCTAGTGTTTTCCACTTCTTATAGTATTAGGAACCTTCCCCCTTACCATTAAATATTCTTTAGAATAATTTTAAAAGAATGTTGGCAGAAGATTTTATCATATGGAATATACTATCTTCCATTTGCCCTTCTAGATCCACTGTCTACCCTTCTCCACCCTTCTCCAGCCTTCTCTCTGCTCTGGAGACTACCTCATGGACCATACATATAAAAGGGTTCCTGCTCTTGGCTCCTGGTAGGTTTGGTCAATGGGAAGCCCCAGCAGAAACTGGAAGAGAAGGGAATGAAGGAGGAACTAAAGGGCAGGTATTTTATTCCCTTGGCTCTCTCCCTGGCAGGTCACCTCAGTTTGGCTGTGTCCTCCTACTAAAGGCTAACTCGACTGGGATCTCTCCTTCTGAGGTCCAGTAACTATTCTCTTCCTTCACCTTGTTACTACACTATCTGTTGTGGTTTCCAAAATATACTTTTGTAAATAGGTACTTGAATATCCTATCTTGAATGCATTATATTTTCCTGATATATGTAACAGTTTAATAATTTCCTGGGATTACATAATATAAATTATATTTCAGTGGAACATTCTGGTCCCTAGATCCTGGTGCTAATTTCTGATGTTGTACACCTAAAACTGACATAATAATCCATTACAACTGTACTTAAATGATAAATGAAAGGATAATTTCTAAAATATTATTACCTGGTCAAAAATTAAAATAATATAATGTTAAGACTGTGGATATGCATCCAAATTAACTTCCAATGTGAAATATCTACTGTAGGTAGTCATTTGCTATTTGTTTATTTATTTTTATGCTATTTTTTTTAAATCCCAGTATCTGAATTTCTTTCTCTTGTGGTTAATGAGTCTTGGTGATAAGTAAGGTTCTGCCTCTCACTTTAGAAATGAAGGAACCAGATATTTCCTCTCTACTCTGTGGCAACAAATGCTTGGGTCTACGAAACAGGTTTTGGAATGGGATGTTCTTGCCCTGAACTTGAATCTGAGAGATCTATGGATCTGAAGAGAAGAGTGACAATTAGAGATTATGAACAGTGGGGTGGGATGGCAGAATTGCTTGTGCACTGGTTACCATGGGAGCAGAAATAGTGTCACTAGTGAGTAAACCAATAGGTAGCCCCCCTGTTGCCATAGCTGACAATGTCTTTGTTCTCTGCTACCAAGACTCTCTTGGTTCCTGGCTTTGATCTAAGCCTGGTTCTTCAGCGTCCCTGTCATTCCTTTGTGAATTGACTCTTTTTATCATTATAAAATGTCGCTATTTCTTAAAATATTCTTCGTTTTGAAGTCTACTTTGTCTGATATTAATATAGTCAATTTAGCTTTTTTGGGGGTTGATAGAAATATTTGTTATCTTTATTGTGGTGATAGTTTCTTGGAAGGATTCATATGTTGAAAACTGCCAACATATTTCCACTTAAAATATGTTTATTTCAATAAAATTACAAAAAATGGCACAAGTTGGTCTTTTCAAGCATTTTTGAACACACAAAGAGAAATACCACCAGAAGTGCTACAAAGCAATAGAAAGAATATTATAATACCCCTCACCCCAATTATATGTACAGGACTTATGCAGAATGGCCTTTGTGATTTGCAAGTAGCCTTCATGAACATGCGCATGTCCCTCTATGGATATGCTGGCTTTGTAGACAGCTTCATGGGTGTGTGATCTGTGCAGTCACAGATGATTCTGTGTTTGATTTAATGCTCTGCTGTCACTATCTTAATATTTTTTTTTTTTGCTTGAGCAACAGAAATTCATTTTCTCACAGTTCTGGAGGCTGGAAGTCCAAGATCAAGGTGTTGGGAGGTTTGGTTTGAGGCCTCTCTTCTTGGCTGACTTCTAGCCACCTACTTGCTGTGTCCTCACGTGCTCTAGCTTTCTTATGCTTACTGTTTGCATGGTATACATTTTCCACCTCTTATTTTAACTTACCTGTATCTTTATATTTAGAGTGGATTTCATATCACTATAAGAAATAGTATGGCTGGAAGCAGAAGTTGCATCTCTGCTATTTTTTTGAACTAGTTTGTTCCTTCCTGTAAATTGCTTTTCTGTTTCATCAGCTAGAGTTCAATTCTATGATTTGCAATCAAGAATCTTGGTGGTACAATATTGGTATTGGGAACAGATTGTAAGCAACAGATCCTTAGGAAATCCTCAGGCTTGCTAGGTGGGACAAAAGGTGATAAAAGTCCCTTTATATTAAGGGATGGTCTTCTGGCAGCTTAGGCCATGCAGTGAAAAATATCCCTATTATCACCTGGAAGGAAGAGATCATTCAATACAGAGTTTAAAGAAATAAAGTGGTTATTGGTACTGAAGAGTATGAAGGAGGTGAAAATTGAAAATATTGTAGGATGGTCTGACCTAGCCAGACCTCACAGAAAGGGAGAAAAGGGGTAAATATAGCCTTTCTCTCCTCCCTCTTCCTCACACTGTGACTGTCACATTAAGGCTCCTCACTTTCCTGATTTTGAGTAATTTTGGATTGTATCATGCACATTATGAATGTCACGTTGTAGAGTCTGAATTATATTAATTTCCTCTTATGAATCATTTTTTT